TATTCAGGAGTCTGTTAACATGTCTACTTTGACTTTGGATTCGCTTTACACAAAATTGAAAACTCATGAGATGAATATTCTTGCTCGTAAAGTTGATTTTAAGTCTAGTGCTTTGATTTCTTCTTCGACTTCTTTGGATGTTGGTGCTTCTTCATCGAAGTCTTCTGTTCTTGCTTTATTTAATGCCATGTCCGATGATCAACTCGAACAGTTCGAGGAGGAGGACTTGGTTTTGTTATCTAACAAATTTTCTCGAGCTATGAAAAATGTTAGGAACAGGAAAAGAGGAGAACCGAATCGTTGTTTTGAGTATGGAGCACTTGATCATCTTCGCTCATATTGTCTTAAGCTTGGGAGAGGCAAGAAGGAAGATGATGGGAGAGTCAAAGAGGATGACGTGAACAAGAAGAAGAACATGAAGGAGAAGGAGAAGAAGAAGCATTGTATGCAATGGTTAATTCAAGAACTCATAAAAGTTTTTGATGGATCTGAAGATGAAGATGAGGGCAATGGTAAGCAAGTTGTTGATCTAGCTTTTATTGCTCGTAATGCAAGTTCTGATGTTGATGAATTTGATGATGATAATGAAGAAAAGCTTAGTTATGATCAATTAGAATATGCAGCTTACAAATTTGCTAAGAAACTTCAAACATGTTCTATTGTGCTTGATGAGAAGGATCATACGATTGAGATCCTTAATGCTGAAATTGCTAGATTAAAATCTTTGATTCCTAATGATGATAATTGTCAATCTTGTGAAGTTTTATTTTTTGAAATTATTGCTTTGCGAGATGTCAATTCTATTAATTGCAAGAAATTGGAATTTGAGATTGAAAAATCTAAAAAGTTGGAGTCTTCTTTTGCTCTTGGATTTGCTTTACATGCTCGTGTTGTTGATGAGTTGATTTTGACAAAGAACGTTTTAAAAAAAATACAAAGTTACTTTTTGTGCAAGTTCTTTGGTCAATGCTTCATGTGCAAATAAGACAAAACAAAACAATGGTGCTTTGATTTCTCAAGATTGTTCAAAGTGTGTTTTGAATGAGTTGAAGTTGGAAGATGCTTTAGAGCGTGTTAAACACATGGAAGAAATTGTTAAACAAGATGAGGTGTTTTCTTACTCAACTTGTGGAAAACAAAAAGGTCTTTTGGATGCTTGCAAAAATTGTGCTATTCTTACTCAGGAGGTTTCTTATTTGAAAAGTTTTTTGCAAAGATTTTCTGATGGTAAAAAGAACCTCAACATGATTCTTGATCAATCTAAGATTAGCACACACAATCGTGGTTTAGGTTTTGGTCCTTATGTTCTTAATTCTAGACATCCTCCTACTGTTTTGGGTGTTGCTAGGAGAGGTGAAATTTTGATTGAATCTGAGCCTAAGAACACTGTGTTTAAATCTGCTGGCATCATGTCTTCTTTAAGTGCATCTTCTTCGAAATCAAATGTTGTGAATGCAAAACCTTCTGTTGTTGCAAAACCATCTACTTCACAAACTTGTCGTGAAAAGTACACTTGTTCTTTTTGTGGAAAAGATGGACATTTGGTTGGTTTTTGTTTTAGACTTGCCCATAAACAGAAAAGGGAAAGAGAAATTGCTTTTGCAAAACGACGTTGGCAAAAATCGGGTTTTAATTCGAGGACCACGGTTGGACCGACACTGACCAGTCGGTCAGACCGGCCAGCGGTCAAACCGCAGATGAACCGGCGGTTAGACCGGTTGCTAGGCCCGGTCAGACCGCAGGTACAACGGCGGTCAGACCGGCCTCGGGGCAATTTTTCGCGAAATTCAACTCAGACTTTTGTGAAGCAAAAAGGTAATTTTTCAGGTAAGTCTGATTCTGATTTTGTCAGTGCATATGTACCTACTGGTTCTACTGGTTGTGTGACTCAGTGTTGGATTCTAAAATTTCTTATTTCTAACTCCAACACGGAGGCCTCGACATCTTCTCGTTCGTAGGTATTTTGGCGGTATACTCCCCATGAGTGTTCAATTTTGAGATGACGATTGCTTCTCAAGGTAACATCAATTTATTTTTGGATTGACATAATTTTGATCTACTCTCTCGTTTATTAGCTTTTGAAATGATGTAGTAGAGAATATTGGTGATATCATTGGCAATTGGATGTCTTTTCAAAATTTTTGATTTCTTCTTGATTTTTGTTCGGGGAGAATTGGAGGTTATTTTGAGGGGGAGTTAGTGCTTATTCGTGAATCCTTTTGGCATGTTTTGAGGGGGAGTTTGTACCTCGTGGTTTTATCAAGCAATAATATGACAATGAAAAAATTGAGAAAAGAGAGCTTTGTTTTATACATATGGTATTTTCTTGTGCATGCTAGCAATACTTTGAAGGTTTATTTGTCTCTAGCATAGCTTGTATGTATTCTAGTCTTTTCATGAGATTTAGATTTTGCTTTTAAAGGAGATGATGCATGACACTTAAATTCTATACTTGAATTAAGCAAATATGCAATGTTGATGCAAGCATATGGTTTGATTTATAAATGCTTTATATATATGCTTTATTGACTTGTTATTCCTCAAATAGCTTTATTTGCTCATTGTGAAAAAGAGAATAAGAAAAATATGAAAAAAATGAATACCGAATCCTTGGAAACAGTCTTGACAACAAGGACGTATTCGATGTGAGCAAAATAATGGGTGCCGAATCCCTGGAAACAGTCTTGACGACAGGGACGTACCCGGAATAAAAAGAGAAAAATATGAGCAAAAAGGCTCAAGAAAAAGAAATAGTTAAAAATTCTCTTGGTTGTTTTGTGCTAAAGGTTATTTGAGAAAGAGTGATAAATGCAATAGGTGTATGTGTTTAGTGTTTATTCTTCAACCTATGTGCTTGTAAAAATGTTGCATTATAAATTGTATGAAATCATGAATTTTGATTGTTGATTCAAGCTTAATTGTAAAATCTTTGGTTCATGGTTATACTTTAATGCATGCTTGTTCTGTTATAGACGGGTTCATCTTGTTTTTATTGCAACATATGACTTGATATGCTATATGTATGCTAAGCTCTTGAACATTAATGAACATAATTTATATGCTTGATGAAATCATTGTCAAAAGGAGGAGAGTAATGTGAAATTTTTTGGATTTCTGGAGAAGCAAGGTGAATTTTGAGAGTTATTGAGAAGAGCATGTTTTTGGTTCAATTGGGGGAATTTCTTTCTTTTGGATTTTTGAGCACGATGTGTACAATTGAGAATTTCTTTCTTTTAAAAAGGGGGAGAAGTTTTCTTTTGGATTTTTGAGCACGATGTGTACATTTGTACGAAGTGTGTTTTTTACCACTTTTATTTTTATTTTTCCAAACACCAAAACATTTTTTTGATGAGGTTTGCCAATGTGTTCATCAAAGGGAAGATTGTAAGATCAAAGTGTGTTTTGATTCTTATTCTGTGATGAACAATTGGCATCTGTGATTATTGGTTTTGATATTTGGAGATTATCGTCGAAGTGGTTTTGGAGATAATCAATTTTCAGGTGATGATCGGATTCACTGTTATTTTATGTGACCGGTCTGACCGGGCTGTGTAGGCCAGTCAGACCGGCGGTGATCGAGCGGTCAGACCGGCCGGCCCGCGGTCTCACCGGCCGACGCTGTGTCGGTTAATATAACACAGGAAGTTCGTGTATTTAAAACGGAATAATAGGACATCGTTAATATAACACAGGAAGTTCGATAAGTTCCGACAAGATTTTATAGATATATTCTTGCACGATTCAAAATGACTGTGGAGTATATCGTTCCGCTAATTTTCCGTTTTTCCCTTTTTTGTTTACAGATAAAAAGGATGGACAGGTACCGATCTCATTTTCATTCTTCATAATCTCCTTTCTCCCCGATCTCATCTTCCTCCGTGTGCATCTCTTACTCCGTCAATCTCATCTTCCTCCGTGATTGCAATATGTCTGGTTCCTCAGTGTATCCCGAAGCAGATTCCGCCGTTCAGGTATATCCCGAAGCAGAGGTGTGAGTGCATGTTCATGTATACACTTGTGAGTTCTGAGACATATAATAGACTTATTAATCTTCGATCACTAGTTGCCAGCAATGGTCTATGAGTACTTCGGTTACTGCACATCTTATGCTGCCTAGATGTTATCCTTTTTCTTTTCCCTATGAATAGATCTACTCTCTTTGCATTGCGTGTACTGTATCTTAGATTCATTGGTTGGGTCCAACGCACTTTCCCTAGCCTTTATTTAGCTCGGATCCTATTTACACTGTTTTCAAGCAATCAATCACCAAATTAAAACAGATCTGTAAACCCTGATTACATATGCGATCGACTTTTGGTCCTTGTCATCTGGTTGTCACTTAATTGTTTACGATTTGGGGATAATTTTCTTTTCTAATTCATTAGCGATGAGAGCGCCGTACATTGTTGAGAGACTATCATTACCATTTGTTGCACTAGCAATTCGCTCAAGTATATCGACATATTATGTTATTTCTTATTTAACCTAGTGCTTAATTTGTTACTCTATTTTTTGCCGTCTTCCGTTTTTTCTCTTAAGTATCAACTAACTCAAAAACTTGCATGAATAACCTAAACTTTGACCACAATTTTCTTAACCATTAGTCCACACAAAATGTTTGTTGTGAAACTAATTTGCTATTTGTCCATGTTTGACTTTTGTAACGAAATTTGGAGTATTTTAAGTTTTTATTTTATTTTTTCATTTAGGAATAACCTAGATTATAGTATGTTGTTTCGTATTAGTAAAACTTATTATTAAGTCGCAGAATTCAACAGCCACCGAAACAACATCATCACTACGACATATAATCCGTCAAAATCGGTCGATGTCATGTGTTACTACTCAAGTTTGTTAATTGGCACAATAGTTTATATGATGATCAACTAAGCCGTTGATTTTTTTTCCTTCTTAAATGCAGCTTGATGATTTAACATGTGGTGATGAAAACATGTTAGCCATGTTTAATGTTCTAAAGAACAAAAAATCTGCAAGGCTCGAAAACCTTGTGTTGGCTAGAAATTCATTTTCTAGAACTGTATACAACATAAATACTTTGTCAAATCTTGTTTATGTTGGAAGGGTACAAATAACTGTGGATGGTGATGGCCGTCATATTGTATGTAAGTGTGTCATTACTTATTTTCTATTTTTGTTGCTACAAATCTGTGTACTCTATACCTTAACTTGATGCTATTATATTTGTTGGTATAGACCCAAGGAATGCACCAACGGCAGAAGACATAGCTAGTGGAAAGGTGAAAAACAACCATTTTATAATAAGGACGGATTTTAGGGACTAGCAGGTATGTAGTCATTTTTATATAATATTGTTAATGGTCTCCTCTTCAATTTGGTTGTCCATATTTTAATTCAATATGTTTTAATCTTGCTTCACATTTGTGGGTAGATGATGAAAGACATGGTTGTAGATGGCGAAGAGCTAATGCACGGTCCTCAGCTCACCACACATGGCACCAATGCCAGCAATACGCCACCAATCGTAGTCATCCAGGATGAGGAGGCGGCGGCCACCACCTCGTGTGAGAAAATGGAGATGCGGGAGGCTCGCCACAAGTTGAACCGTAGTCTCTTCCAAGACGATGACAAATAATTACATTCACTGTAATCCTGCATAAGCCGTCTCCGAAGAAATCTAAGATGTGAGCTTCGCATTGGGAGGATATTTTTTCAAAAAGTTATGAGATGTTCATTTGTCAATAAGATGTTTTATTTTTAATATTCTAAGTTAGTTTGCTCGGATGTTCATTTGGAATAAGCTAGTTGATAAATATTTATTACATGATACTCTATTTGGATATTTACTAAATGGAACTCTATTTGGTTATTCACGTGTGAGATGCCTGTGGTTCAGTGCACAAATACTGCACCTTTGGTTAAGTGCGATTCTTCTTTCAGTCCAGCAGGGTTGCATTCATTCCCGAACCTGAAATATGAAGATTTTCGTTCAAAAATTGGCTCCAACAGAGTCCCTAGCGAAGTATGTGGTGATGTATTTCCTATAGGGTATACACTATATATAATTTTTATCCAGAAAATATATAAACGTGTTCAAGTAAAACAACTGGAATAGGATCCTAATTTCATCATCCAGGACCAAATTTCAGAAATCAAGCAGTAAGCAGTCAAGTTATCGATCTCATTTCTGTATTTCTGTAATGTTTCTGAAAAAGACATCTTTTATAGTTCTAAAGCATTTCAGCTTATTTGCCTCTGTACACATCTAAAATAAATTAAGTGCCTCAGTTTCAGAGTGTAATGCATATGCAGAGATGGCCATATTCAGGAAGACAGGTTTGATCTGCTATAAAAGAGTATCCATCTCACATATTCATAATCAAGCTATAAAAGAGTATCCATCTCACAGATTCATAATCCTCAAAAAGGGTTACTTATGCACTGATTCAGGGTTTTATGCTCTTCCATACAGTGCAACAGTGTGTCTACATATAATTTGGAAAAACAAAGTGCAGGTTTCAGGACGAATGCCCAAATACTGAAGACCAAACATGTGGTTTTGCAGGATTCAGTTTCCCTTAACTGAAATGTGTCTCACTAATTAACCAGGTGCTTAACATTCATACGTGCCTCCTGAATACCAGATCAAACTCAAGATAGTACCCTCTGTTATTTGAATATAAAGATGGACCGAGGAGGAAGAGAAGGATATGCGTTCTCCTCCATGGAGGGAGAAGGATGTAAATGTCATGCATAGTTTCATGTCTAAATGAAGCCAAAATAAATGGAGCCGAAAATCACCTTTCAGCCTTTGGCACTGTTCAAGACAAATCCCACATGTGGGCATCATGGATATCAAAAAATGCCTGCATAAACAAAGAATTTATCAGTAAGGTTATTTCGATTTTTTGTTATTAACGTGACAAACTGAAGAGATTCTGCAATATGTACATGTACTATGAATGTTACACACGGTAAGAAAGACACAAATACATCCACCATGAAAAAATAGCGTAATAACTCTGAACAAAACTCAACACCAAAATAAACTTCCATTTTATCAAGTGGGAGTACTCTCTCGACTTCCAGGGATTTCTATGAGAAGACAACTGCTACCTCTGAACCAGGAACAGTAACATATCATTCAACACAAACTGTATAAGAAAGTTTAGTAGACAACTTTTCTAATCCAAACGCATGCACCAGGGAAAACACTTAATATGCACATCTTGAGAAAAGATTAAATTAATCCAATAAAAAACAATGCCATTAATACAAAAGATACAAAGTTTGTGAGGCACAATAACCTTATTAGTTTTTTGTGTGCAATGTCTCACGGAATGGCCTTCGTCTCTTCGATGGAGCTCCTTTTGCCCTAATCTCATCAGGATCACTGACCCTCTTCTCTAATGGCTGGTTATTAGACAAAAAGTGAGTTGGCATAGGACCAAAATCTCCGGCCACGATGTTCTCATGGGATGAAGATCCTTTATCCAAAATCCCCTTTAAGAAATCCATCGCCTTTTCTGTCTGCTCAGGGTTCCTAGCGGCCTCAAAGAAAGCATCACTACCCAGATTTCGGAGGCTACGAAAACGAACCATGTGTTTAGACCACACATTAGGATCGGTATTCCTGTCTGACCTAAATGCCGCCTTTGCTCCCATTGTCCACCTATCCACGACACAACAACGAGGGATGGTGTCAAAACCAAGGAACTTGAGTACAACAAAAATGTCTGAGCAAGGGATGTCTTCGCACTCCATCTTCCGGCAGTGACATTCCACACCTTCCAACGCCTAGCCTTTAAAAGTAACTCTCACTTCATCTCACACCTCATTATCGTCCTTCAAACCAACAACATACAGTGACGAACCATCTTGATTAGTCCCACTTATGACTTCAAGTCCAGCAATTAGCCGTATCTGTGCACGGACATTCTTGAACACGACTGCTGTGAATATACGGGCAGCGTCTTTCTCCAATGGGTCGGCGTCTATTCTACAAAAAGGGAGCGAATTGGTACACTTAGCATCCAACTGAGCCTCCTTCTTACGCAGATGTTGTATGCACAACTTAACATGTTTGACTAAGCACATTAGTGACATGTTTCTCTTTAGAAGGGTGTGAAGCTTTGAGTTCAGTGACTCACTACGTTGGTTGCTGCGCATACCCAACAAGTATTTCCCATCTGTATAGGCAGTAGCCCACATTCTCCCTAAGGAGGTACATCAGAGCGATCCATTGTCCATTTCCCATGCCTCCATTCTCCTTAAAATCAGCCCAAGCGTCTCTCGAACTCCTCCTCATCCATACTCGCATAAATTAATTTTCTTAGCTCATCAAGTGTTGGCTTACGAAGGTGACGACTCATATTCTCCTCTATATGCCAAATACACAATCTATGGTAAGCACCCGGCATTACCTTACTGATAGCATTCGCCATTGCTAGGTCGCCATCGGTAATTAATGATTTTGGATGCACTTGACGCATTGCCTCCAAAAAAGTCTCAAGGAGCCAATAGTAAGAGTTGACAGACTCATTGGATAGAATTCCGCACCCAAAAATTGTTGTACTTCTATGGTGGTTAACTCCTATGAAAGGAATGAAAGGAAGATTGTACTTGTTCACCCGGTAAGTGCTATCGAAAATAACAACACCACCAAAAGCAGCATAGTTTAAACCAGATTCAGCATCTGCCCAAAACACATTCCTAAGACGCCCTTCCTCATCCGTGGTGTATTTGAAGAAAAATTCTGGATCTTCTTCTTGCTTCCTTGTTAGATATTTCAACATATCTTCAGCATCACGACCCTTGATATTCTTCATCTCGTACCGAGTAAAGAAATTATAAAGGTCCTTCATCACAAAACCAACCTCTTCCGACTCATCGTGGTTATTCTCCATAACCTCCATGATTTGAAAGGGCCTAAGGCCACTCATGCGAAGCTCGACCGCTTGGGCTTTCTTAGAATCACTCACCACACGATGAACTCCTAAAAAAGCAACATGGTCAGGATTTGCAAGTTCGTGCGTATGTTGGTTATTAAACTCCTTAACAAACCACACCCCCTTCTCCTCGTTCCACTCAATCTCAAGCTTAGCTAAGCAACCACAGTGGGTCAGTGCCCATGGCTCCCTTTTCCGCTCTATCCTCTCAAAGTGCTTCAACTCCCTGTACCCTTCACTTGAGCATACGAATTGCCTCCATATAATCTCACCGTCCTTCCGCTTCAAGTTGTTTTTCCTCACACTGAAACCCTTACCCTTTGCATAGTCTAAATAGAATTTGTAACCTTCCTCCTCGCTTGAAAAAACCCATCATTTTATACTCTTCCTGATCCTCTAGGCTCACATAGCTCGAAGTCATTATGTCAGACCTCACTACGGAAAAGTACAAAAAACAAACAGAACAAGCACCCAAATATAACCTTACGTCCTTTATACCTCATAAGAATAAAAAAAAGAACAACCGTCGCCTGCATAAATACATTGCCAATCCAAAGAAAACACGGGAAATTCAAATTAGGCAATTCAGTTACTGTAGGACTGCATATAATATCTGAGGTTCATAACAGGGCAGAGTAAGGATGCTGATTCTATAAATAATCTAAATGATTACAAGCTTACTCGCATCCAGCACTTGGCACTCAACATCTAAGTCTCCAATGTAAAATGGGTCCACCTAGTACTGTAATACAATCCTTTTAAGTCTGCATTTTTGGGTAAAAACATTTGTTTGGGAAAAGACAAATCATGATTGTTTAATTTATTTTTCAGTATTGTTTTGTGGGAGTGGGTGGGTAGTGTGGAGATTATGGATATCCCATATCTACACGGCGATGGTATTTGGACTGAATACAGGATACCAAATGTAGATAGAATATCTTATTTGTGTCTCGGGTTTGTTTCTCAACTTGTACATCAAGGAAATACCTTGAGACTTAGTCGGTTACGACTGAATTTTATCTGTATCTGCATATTCCGTTAGGGATATAGATTATCTTTTGTAACACGGACTCCTTCCCATATATAAGGGGGGTCCGGGTGCCTCTGGGGGCACATGTTGATTTTTCTCCAAATCATACAATCAATAAGACACTCGGCGGATTCATCCCCGGACAGGAGTAGGGTATTACTTCTTGAATAAGAAGGCCTGAACCTGTATAAATCTTTTGTCTCCAAACCCATACACTTCTCCAGCTTGATAGCCACCCCCTTTTATTATTGCCGAAATCTAGTTTCAACAGTTGGCGCGCCAGGTAGGGGTTGCGTCAAGCTT